AGCAGGCAGCGGGGGGGGGGGAGCGGCGACAAGAGCCATACAGAGAAGACCGTGACACCACCTGCGTCTCCTCGCCCTGAACCAAGACGTGGACGGACATGCAGTCCCGCTGAAGGAAAAGCGTCACCAAGGAGGACGTGCCACCCACGTAGTCGCCCCCCACGAACTCCGTCGAATCCTGTCAATGGTAGCAGCGGGGGGGGGTCTACGGCTACTTGTCAACGGGGAGGCGGCCTGGGCACCGCTTCCCCAGAGGCTACACCCGCAAGTACGCCTGGCGTCGCAACTAAGCGAGTGGCGGGATCCGGCGCGCGTGGCCGAGATCCGGGAAGCCGTGCAGGATCCGGTAGGAAACGCAGAAGGAGACAAACGCTGGGGCAGAGGCGGCAAGCCGTCTTTGAGAGGAGGATGGCAGACGAGGAGCACAGTGAGCAGCAAAAGGAGGCGAGGCAAGAGGCTAAGGGCCGCAGAGAGCGAGCGATTGCCGAAGCTGGACGTGAGAAGTTGGAGTCTGGAGGCAAGCGGACAGTTGAATTCCGGCGTCGAAGTTGCGGTGGAAAGCTTGGAACAGCTGGATCTCGCTCCGTCAAGCGGAGTGCAGCGCGAAGACAGGCTGATCCTGGAGTTAGGAATACTCAGGTCGGAGCCGAGAAAATACACGCAAGAAACCTTGTAGGCGTGCGGAGTGCGGTTGGTTCACAAACAACCTGGGTCTCGAATGCAGCATGTGCCCCTCAGGCGTAGTGCACGCCGTCAGTGACAAGCAATGCTCTGCATGCCATAGGTCGGAGGGCTTACCTGGCTTCACGCACCCCAGAGGGCCACGGCTTGAACGAGCGACGCGGTTGTTTTTGTTTTTGGCCGAGTACCAAGAAGAAGAGGGGCAGCTGCCTCTACCTCTCGTGCGAGGATTTTGTCCCAGCAACGACTGCATTTGCCAACGCCGAGATTGTTTCTACGGTTTTCTTCTCGAGAGGGAAGCAAAGCCGGAGCTCCGAACATGTAGCGTGTGCAAGAGAGGGTACCCTGTGAAGGACCAGAAGATGTGGTACAGTGTGGACGTCGTGGACGATAACGTAACGGAGGGTGGTGGATCAGGACGCACACAAGCTTGGTACTGCCAGGCCTGCAATCAAGCTCGAATCCGGGCCATCGGAGAAGCTACTCAAAAAAAGGGTTGCGGCATCGAGCAACTCGGGCCGACCTAAAGCCGATGAACCGGCGCCGGAGAAGCCGTTCAGCCGGTTGCGCGCGTTGGTGATTAAAGCCGTAGCTCGCGGGGACATCCTTTACTGGGAGGATGTGTTCGACTGGCTCTCAGCTGAGCGCGCAAAGGATGGTGACCAAGAACTTGAGCGTAGGAGCGGGCGGAAGGCCGTGCGCCAGATGTTCGAGAGCATCGCGAGCGCTGATGGGAGCCAAGCGCGGGTGGTCAGCAGCGAGGGGGGCTTTGGAGACGGGCGCCAACGACTACTGTGTCTCTTCCCGGTCAACGCTCGGAACGAGGTTATGGCATCCCTGGCCCTACGGGCGCGCCTGGCGAACACGTTCGATGGTCCGAGCACGCCCGACAACCAGGATAGGCGAGGCTTCGCACGGCGTTTGTACATGCTTTGCAAGTGCGCGGTGAAGGCGATTTTTCTTGGTAGACACTTGACAGCGGCGGACATCAAAGGTGCTCAGTGGGCGAAGTCGAAGGGGACCTGCCGGCAGGTTATCGACTTTGTAGCAGGGCACGGCTTGTGGGCTACGACTTCACAAGTGCAGCATCGAGAGGACTATCATGCGAAGGTCGTTGAGGACAAGGACATTCTCCCCAAGGGGGCCCAATGCGCGGAGATTGCAAGCGACAACTCCGATCACGACCCGCGGGTCGGTGAGCGCCAGGGGGAAGGACCGCATATTTCGTTCATAGCCGCAACAGCTGTGACGGTGGGGGACGATGTGGGTAGGATGCAAGACGCCGCTTCGCTCAGGAGACGCAGATCTCTTACGGTGGATCAGATTACAAAGGGGCTGGACCAAGAGCAGGGAGACCGGCGGTTCAAGGATTTCGAGCGGACACTTCGCCACGCTGCCGTCGACAATGTGTTGAGCAGCTAAAGTGAGGATAGCCCTTGGACATGCGTCGAATCTGAACTCCGCAAGGTAAGCATATTATTTCGACTTGAGAGTCATCTTAAGAGTATGTTCAAATTTGCCACACAAGACGCGATAATCTCCAACATATACAGCACAACATTTACCCGTCCCTCGCGTAAAAGAGTATACGACGTTTCTATTTATTTATTTTTCTTCCAAGTCTTGGCAACCCATTCCGATGCTGGAACGGCATGCTCTCCAGATTGATTTTGAAGGGTAAAGGTTTAACGGAGGGCATACATCGGTCGAACGCACACGGTGTCCCCTTAAATATCCCGGGCCATCCTTTGACTGAGGGGGCTTGGTTGTTGGACCGATGTGCACACGAGCAAACTTGTATCGTCAGGATGTCATAATTATGTTTGGGAAAGTAGAACTATCTCAACCTGTAGCGGTGAACCAAATGTATCAAAAATGCTGTGAACAGGCACATGCTCAAATGATTTCCTTGTTCGTATGCACATGTGTAACCGACGCAGCTCATTACACCTCAGGAATGATCTGAGGCCGACGGACGATACACGTTTATCCAGCGAGGATCTACGAGGAGGTATACCGACAACAAGGCTGCAATCGACCGTATCCTGGAAATGTGGCGTTATACCTCAGCCGGTGAGGAGGGTGCCCCGTGCATCATCGCCGGGGACGAGGAGACCTACAGGTTCCTGTATCATATCATGAAGCAAAACCCAGAGGAGTACCGCCAAGTCCGTCGCTACCGGGCGATTGGCATTTCCTCTTGCACATGACGAAGGCTCTTCTGAGGCGATATTGGGGGGCTGGGGTGGAGCATGTGGCCGAAGAATTGGGCACGGACAACAAGAAGTCGATGGACGGGAATAACTACCGTCGAGCACACAACCACCTAAGCGCGATGTGGGAGGCGTTTTGGGCTGTGTGCCAGGAGAAATACGCCGAACACTTGGCCGAACAGGGGCTCGCACCGCCGGAGGATCCCGACGACTTCGCCAACCGAGTGGTTGGGTGGATTGAAGCGCGGGCGGAGGTTCACAAGGCGTTCGCCTTATGGAAGCAATTCCTGCTTGACGACTATCCCGCTTACATCGCTTTCCGCACTGCCCTGCGAACGGGTAACTTCAACCTGAGGTGCGATACCATTCGCCGTATCGCCAAAGTGTTCTACATCACCGGCTAGGACCGTTACCAGTTGCTCGTGGCAGACCACCTTGCTGAGATGGCGATTTTGCCGGAGTCAGATCGAAAGGTTATCGCTGAGCTGTTTTCCGTAGCGCTCGGTCCCGACGTTTTCGCGCGAATTGGGCTAGACGAGAGGCAGGAGGTTGCTAATCGGTTTTACAAGACGATGACCAAGAGAATCGTTTCGAGCTTCATAGAAAAGCTGGCGCCGATTGCTCAACTGCGTGAGGAGGCCCTGATCCAGTTCGAGCGAGAGTACATCGAGCAGGCACAAACGGCCCGGGACAGGAGCCGGGAGGTGGCGTCAAAACGTGGGCCGGCGGTCAAGAAAGCTCGTGAGGTGTTGCTCAAGAGCCCAGCATTTCAAGGTGATGAAGGTGTGGGAAAAATCATGTCGTTGGACGGCAGGGTGGTCACTCAAAAAGAAGAGGAGGAGCTTGTCAGCGCGCCGACGAAGGCAGTGGAGAAGTTTCAGGAGGTCGTCGCACACTGCGTTTTGAGGGACCCGAAAAAGAAGGGGACGACCAAGAAGAACGTTTTCTCAATCCCGCCCAAGAACACAACGAACCAGTCTACGAAGAGCCAAGGGAGGAAGTCGGGTTTGAAGGATAACATAGCCAACGCCTTCGCTGGGGGGCGTGAGTTCAAGGCACTGTTTTTGAACACTATGGATGCTGCCGACGAACACGGGTCGGTCACGCCGGAGCTTTTGGCTGAACTGGTGTCTCAAGTGGGAGCTCCCCGGCCATACAGCATGCTAAATTCCAAAGGAGGTGAGATTCAGAGATCGAGTGTGGGTCACCCTGTTTAAGTTGTGTGCGTAATGGCGTACTCGTCAGCCAAATACGTTTCGTTTCGTCATCAAATGGAAAAGGCTTAAGGACCAGGTACATCAAATTGTAACATTGGAATACACTGTATCGGCTAGATCTTAGCGCAATTTGAGCGCAGAATCGATGAAGTGCTCCGGGTCTCTGCTCGCGTCCATAACAGAGGGAAATCATCACACAGACTACAAGCGTTCGCTGAAAAAAAAACTAATGATAGATACTGCAGAACAGCCAAGGGATCCAAATAAGATCGGGTCGTCATTCCAAGAATGATTTATTTCGAACGACTCACGCCGTGAAGGTAGACAGACNAACATTTATTCCGACAAATCATCAGGCGCGAAGCACGCCAACAAAGCCCAAGGCCCAAACAGGTGGGCAAACGAAGAGGTCCCCGACGGATAAAAAGATGAACCGTTCGACAAGCCCAACGCTCACGGCGTGGATCTGCCGGTTTCAACCCACAAAGGTGTGAGGCAATCAAACTTGGAGGAGGGAACGGTGGGGGTGATCCGCTACTTCGAACAAGAGTTGCGCTGATGGACACCGACCTACTTGTCGTGTGCTACGATCGCGGGGAACTTGTACCCGTTATCAAAGGGCAAGAACAGCTGGCGCGGACCGAGCAAGTGGGGGGGTGTACGCGGGACTTCGATCCGTCGTCAACGGAATCGGTTCCTTCGTCACAGTTTCAGCCATGGCTCCGAGCCAATTCCAACGAGGCGCGGGATGGTATCGCCGCGAATCTCGCCATGAACGTGCTGGCGGATGAAAAGTGGGACGGAGACCAAAAGCCAACTGGGACCGCTGCATTTGACGGTGTTGGACGTGAGGTTGGACTGAGAGATGTGCGACAGTACAATGAGATGTCTGAGGCTTTCGGCGCCGACGGCGAAGCGGATGAGGGGGGGTGGTATGGCTCGGGGCCGGAACATCTCCTGCACTTCCGAAACCGGTCTACTTCAGGTACGGTTGTCCAGCGAAAGCGTGGACCGCACGTTGGCGAGGCTGAGCTTCCTGTCGCTCATTTTATCGTGTGGGCGGAGACGTACTGGGGAAAGAAGTTGGACAAGTGGCTCGTCACATCAGTCGACACGGACTTGTGGATTATCATCCTCTTGGCAATGAGCACCGGCAAAATCCCGCCTAATGGTATCGATAAGGTGGACATTACCGTGCAGAGGATTGTTGGGGGAGCTGCGAAGTTCCTATGGGTCAACCGAGTGTACAACAAAATCGCCGACCTCAAGGACGGGAGCGAATCTGCGTGGCCGGCGGCAGACTTCCAAGGCTGGATTCCCACCGCTGACGAGAAGGTCCGCCTTTTCGTTCTGACCTACCTTCTGGCGGGCAGCGACTTCCTCCCTGCCATTTCCGGCCTGCCGTTTTACAAAATGTGGATACTTGCTCTGAAAAGCGTGCGGGCTGGTGGCGTGTTCAACCGTTCCCTATTCGTGATGGAGGATGGGGTGTGGACGGTGGACATAGAGCAGAGCATCAAGCTTCTCGCGACCATTTTCTACTTCAGGTACGAGGCAGCATTTGCCGGGATTGCGACCACTCCAGGCGATCTGCTGCGCAACGTGAATGACAGCGTCAGGAACTACGTGGACCTCATCCGAGTGGCCATCGTGAAGCTTGGCAAGAAGAGGACGGCAGACACCTGCCCGACTTATAGGTCGATGCGCGAGCAATGCATGAGGATGAAGTCTGTCGACGGGTAATGGCAAGATGGATTCAAAGACCACATGCCGGAACGAGAATTCAACGGAAAGGGTTGGGGTATTAACCCCAAGGCGAAGGGCAGCAACGCGTCAGCACTCACAGGAGAGAATTGCGTTATGTGGATGTCGGAGCATTCTTACATCGGTCCCGATGGGAAGATGGTCACGATGACGTGCGGTTGCCACCCGGTGAAGGCCTTAAAGCATAACTGTAAGGGGTGCGGGTGCAAAGGGCGCAAGTGCTCCCTCGCTTGCGGCTGCAGGGCCGTTGCCATTTGGCTCGCAAGCCTGTACCCAGTGCACCGACCGGCCAAGCCATGTACTCCGGTCCTGCCGGTGCTGCACACTCCGCAGTCGTTGCCAGCGCCATGACGGCTCTTCTGGCGTCCCGGAACGCTAGAACGGACGAGGAAGAGGAAGACCCGGACGATCCCGGTTCGGACGATGACGACACCGGCCGTTCGGAAAGTGACTCGGACGATTTTCTGGAGCTGGAAGCGGAAGTGTCGGCTGACAGCGACTTAGACTCTGGTGAGTCCGACCCTGGGTGGGGCGGTGTCGGTGGGGTCAATGCTCAGGACGATGCAAACTCTGAGGGCGAAGCATGGTTCTGACCGAGTTTCATCAGGTGTGTTTGGCCATCCTATCGCTGTTCATTTTTCTTCTTGTGTAGACATGTGCGAGTGTTGATGTCGCCTATATTTTGTTCGTCGCCTAGTGATCATGTTGGTGTATCGCGCCGGTGCCATACCGAGCCCACATAATGCGGTCTGCGTATCGTGTTTCAGGTAACAAACTTCCGCCAGATGACTTCGTCCAATGGCGGCTCCCCCGTTTGGCGTTGGTCAGGACTTACTGGCTTCGACCCCCAGCATGGGTTTCGAGCATGTTTTCGGGTGAAACGGATATCGGCTGCGGCAACAATGGCGTTGGCGCAGGGTTTAGACAGTGGCACGGCGGGGTTTCGGGAGTATTGATTATGTCTCCCTGCGCTTATTGTTCCCCGCGTCCGGGAATGTAGCGATTCAAGTGCTTGTATTTTCTCAAGGTTACATGTGCTGTAGATATATAGTGTCGGATTCCTTTACTCGTCAAGTTTAAAGTTCTTGCGTTGGACCTACGGTATCATCATGGTGTGCACAAAGATACACACACGGCAAACGACGTTGTTTTTGGAGCTTCACCCTCACTTTTTTTTAGTGTATATTCTCTGCGTTAGTAGGTCCACCTGACAAATTATCTCACGTTCATTAAAGTTGTTAGCAAATCTCTTGTTCGTGCGGGCGGGGGGGGAGGGGGGAGTCTGAATGGAAACACGCAAACTCACGTAGCGGTACTTGGAATATGTTGTGCTTCGGTCTGTTTCGTGTTTACTTGTTTTCGAGAGACGCACGACGACACAAATCCATTAACCAGTCGGATTTCACCGGAGTACAAAAGGGATACATGCCCGTGCGGGCCCCAACGGGGCATCCTGACGGCCGCAGCTGCTGCTGCGTGCGTGTGCGCCGTATTTTTCTTACGTGACGTTGTCTTTCGATGTGTGTGTATGGCGGCGCAACACTACAGGACACTGTAGGAGATAAAGTAACCGTTTTCAGTTCAAATATGGACGCACGCCATTTGCAATTACTTCACCTGTACTGCGTGTTGCACCAGAGTTCAAATTGCAGTAGAACCGCAAGCCTCACAGCAAGCCCATCCTGTGTCTCATACCACGAGTAGCGCGTCCAAAGATAAGCACGCCTGATCCGCGCAATTCCTTTTCCAAGCGATAAGTACCTCTCTCGTCTCGGAAGCACTTCTGTACATAATACTCGATATGTGTACTCCTCGTGTCATTGTTCGTAATTGTGTAAAGTTTCGTGTCGATCGGTTAGGTATAGGGCGCGTTCTCGTGTTAAGCTTGCCGCGCGTGCACACCACAGGAGGTTCGGCCGCAGCAGGGGCATGGATCACATTTTTTTCGGCAGAGTCTCGGAGCCTGCGCCGAGCAGTTCTCGCGCTATAGTCAACGACATTCCGTGAAACCAGCTTTTTTTAATAGCTACTGTACCCCGACAAAGGTGGCAGTGCGGATGTCTGATCGCCGGTGGGCTAGCCAACTGCCATTTTTTGTGTTGAGCCGCATATTTTTGTTTTTTATCAGGCGTGCAGTACTGGGTGACAAAAAATTGCTTGAGATTATGAATGAAAGCTTGGTCTGACAGGCAGGCTCGGAATTCGGCACCGACCGGCAAAGCTGTCAAAGCCGCGTGTCTGTCATGCCGTCACCAATTTGAAACAACGTACGTACACCGACTAGACTATGCCACGGTACTCTAGTTGAAGTATGTAGTACTAGTCTACTGCTGTACAGCAGTACAACAACTGTAGTGTTTTTTCATCTCTCGACCCTCACCAATTTACCCCGCCTACCGTGTTCTCGCCTCACATCTCCAATGGCTCTTTCTTGGTCACGATGTTAGCCATGGTGTGTGTGCCCCGGATCTTCGCCCAATTCCCACTCAACATTCCTTCTCCGCAAAATATCGTGTACAAGGTTGTCTTGCTCATACATACAACTGGTTGTCGGTTGCATGCATGCAACTTGTGTCCAAGTAGGCGTGCCACACCTTCTCTTACCTGCGATGCACGGTAGTGTCTGGCCCCTCACGCTCGGTGCACCTAGCCTTACAAGGCGGCGGGAAACAGTATCCCTGCTCCCTCACGCAAAACTGATGCGGGAGTCAGTGCAGGAGTGTCGGCAGAAGAGTGCCTTGGAGAGAGAGCAGCGAGAAAGTCAATGTGTATCCCCCATCACCGGGATTATCTCGCCGCGTTATCCTTTGAAACCCAAGCCGTCATGGTCCAAAATGGAGCACTGCATCACGGAGCTTGGTCAGCCCTGCATTGCTTGGTGGTACCATGGTATTGTGCAGGGTTATCTCTGCAGTGTTCACTGCAGGCTTGGGGATCCTGATCGCTGGTGTGGCGGACGTGTACACAGGGGTAAGAGAGACGGCAGTAGACTGGCAGCAGATGTATTTTATCCGCAGTTTGTTGGCGCAACCAGAAGACATCGTAACATGTGCTGCCTTGCATCTGTAGAATGTGGTTCAAACCGTGCTACCGGGACTGCTGTGCTGCATCAAACGCCAAGGGCATGTACAAGGTGCTGTGCAATCAGGAGCTCCAGGGCGTGAGGTCCACGGGGCGAGAGTTCCTACTGCTGTATCCTGTGTTTGCTTGGTGGCGCGCTCCTGCACGCTTACGTCGTTCTTTTCGCCAATGGCGAGACCTATCATAGTATGTATTGGTATGCCGACCACGGTTGTGTATGCTAAAGCATGTGCCGCAAGCTGTACGCTATCAACCATACTGCTGTGCCTGTCCCTGGTTTGCAAATTAGCCTATAAGGGTGGCTGCCGTACATTTGACGTTCAGAACATCCTGCTTTCCTCCGCCACCTGTCGGCGAAACGTATGTACTAAAAGAATGTACTTGTACTGCTGTTGTAGAGGTGCCTCAGCGGTGACGGAGCTACTGCTGCTGTAGGTCATCGAGCCGCTAACAGCAACAGGGTGCAGCGCAGCCTGTTGGGTTGGGTCACACCGAGAGGTTCTGGCATTGCGAGCCTGGTGCTGGTTTCACGTGTTGCTTGTCCTTTGTTTGTGCCGTTTGCTTGAGTGCGGGTGCCACTGGCCCCCGCCTTCATCGCGGCGGTTGTACCAAGGTCCACATCTACATGTCCTCTGTAGATGATTCGCTCCAATAGTTGTAGCACGGAAGTGTGTTTGCCGTACATATCTCGCCGCATGGGGTGATCCCAGGTTTGTTCGTTTGGCATGTCCTCTAGTGCCACGATCTCGTGGTTATATGTGGTTTGTTGTGTGCTTGTGCTTCCTTCGGGGTGCAAGCGGCGCGCAAGAGCAACCTTCTGCAGTACAGCAGGGGTGGCCCTCCAGAGCTGTATGAAGTTCATTGGGCATACACGGAGGCCGTGAATCCAAGAGAAGTAACCAGAAACGGATAAACCCGTATCACCATTTCAGGGTACAGTTGGAAATCAACACGATACTAATCTCCGACAGCATTCGCCGTAGATCGCGGCGAAACCAGTCAACCGCTGTCGGTGTCCGGTGCCTCGGAAGCATGATGCACGAGGGGTTTTTCACTCTGTGCCTCCCTCTCTGTGTGTGCTTTTTCTGATCAGCACCACACCGAACGAACTCGCGCGTCAAGCGAGTCCGATCCTCTATCAAGAGGGGCCGGTATCCTATGGAGGCGGTGCCCATCAACGAGCGAGCGTTGTTGGTGGTTTGGTTGTGGGCATGTATGTGCGGTACGCGGTATGTGCGGTACGCGGTATGTGCGGTACACGTTTTTTTCTGCGGGTTTAGACTATGCTAGAGCGTCGGGCGCCGGGATTATATGACCATTTCTGGGTACAAAATCGACATCTTCCGGGTACACCAGTAGCCAATATCGGTCACAAAAGAGGGTCCTAATGCCAGCGGTAGTTGTACCCGATGGAGGTTTCTTACGAAATGGTTACGATGGTTTTTCGGCCAATCACCTGACAGCACGGGGGTGCAAGCGTGTTGATTTCTAAGTGTGCCCGAGAGTGGTGATAAAGTACCCGGGTTTACCCGTTTCTGGTTGCTGGTCTTAATCCAATACTACAAGCAAGTAGTACAGCATATTCTTCCCCAAAGAGGTGCCAGATACAGTTTGAGCGCCCGCACCTAAGATATTGGCAGTTACTGTAAGCACTTCATGCTCAACATTGTAGAAGTATAGTATCCAACGTAACAAGTTGAGCACAATGTGTGAGCCCGGTTGACACCCCCTACACCACAACGCCTACAACAATTTAAGACTTGTTAGAGGCCGCTTATAGCCCACAAGCGGGACTACTGTACTGTAAGGACCCCGCCCTCGGCTAAAGCTACTGTAGAATAGAACAGAAGAAACTACTGTAGAAAAGAGTAGTAGGGTTCATCGTTTTCTGTCTGTATCGCGAACAGGTTCTTGGCTTCTCGCCGGGGGCAGCACACTCGGGAAGCCCCCTTCGCGAGGGTGGCGATATTGCTGGGCGCCCGCCCAATATACTTTGCCCTTTCGCTTTAGCTAACATGCGATGCACGCATGCTACACCGGACGCTTTCCCCCCCGTTTTCTTCGGGCACCCGGACGGTCAGACGGACTTGCCTCTGTTTGTGAAATTGGAGAATGTGCCCGAAAGCGAGCTGATTACGTCGCCAGGCTTTACGAGATCCGTGAAATGGTTCTACTCCAAGGTGAGACCGAACGAAAACTCGTACTTCTATATCCAATTTTTTCTTTCTATGTCGTTGGTCACACGCTCGACTACACGCTGCGCTTGCGAATGCTACCAGTCTCTACTATTATCATACTTAGCAGAGTTTTGTGTGTCCTGATCGAATCGGGAAGAGAGTCGCCACTGGTTGATTCTGCT